AAATGTGTAATGTGGGAGTATGTGAAGGTAAAGCGCTATTTTATTCTTATAAATTTTGAACTTGTGGCGTTTGAACATACAGTTGATATTAAGTGTTATCATATGAAGTTGTTATGACAAGAATGTCAATATATCAATTTTTTTTAAAAGATTCGCTAAAAAGAGCCATCTTACTATATCTGGGGGTGACAAATCCTTTTTTTTTGTTTGTTCAAAAATATACAAGTGTAATTTTGTGACAAATTTAGGTTGCAAGACAACCTTCGATTGAATGTCCCCTGAATATACTGATAGGTTGAAAGATGCTTTTGAAAGTATGTAATCCGAAAATTATTTGTTACTTCCCAACACAATTTCATGAAACACATAGGAATATAATATGATAATCTAATTTTAAATAAGGTTATGTAATTTACGGTATGTATAGTGATTAAATTAATCAAAACTCTTAATTTTCAGATACTCTTGGTATATGGAGCACCTGGTCATCATGTAGCCATTTATGTTCTCAGGTGTGCATTATTCTTTGTTTGTGTGTGGTATTATGGTATTCTATATTCTGAGATATATTGAACCCTGCACTCACTATTCGGGGATGAATGGTTTAAAAACAGTGTAACGATAGAACTTTTTAGGCAGAGATAATTCAAAAATTTATTTTCACTATTTATATATTTTTTGAAATTACTGTAGTATGAATGAAATGTTTTATTTTGGTAAAAATAATTTTACTTTATTTTGATAACAGTATTTTGGGTTTGGCATAGTCGTGCCAAACATTGTTAGCATTGGAAAGCAGAAATTTTTGATTATAGCTGTGGTTAGTCCATTATCCAACCCAAGTCCACCATATAACCCTGAATGACCAATTGGAATCGATTTGATTATCATTAAAAAGGATTGATTTATCATTAAGGAAAGGAAACGCAAATGTAGAGACTTGAACAATGAAGTTAGTACGTTGTGCGGTTATAATGCTCAAGAATATGAATATGACAAAAGATCTTGCAATACTGAAAACTGTGAATCAGAATCATCTTCTTCCATTGGAGAATGGGGATTTTGGTCAAGTTGTTCGAGATCATGTGATGGGACCAGGACCAGGTATACGCAAGCATAATATTCTTGCCCAATTCTGTATTTATTCAGAATTAACAGTAATTTAAACTAGTTTTCTCACAACAATATATTTGTTTGTCCTCACACTAAACGTCTCGGCGGCCTGGCGTATCAAGCTAAACATTATGAATACGCTTGCTATCGCACCTCTGATTACCCTGTGTGGGTTCGCAGGCTCGAATCCTATGCAAGGATCCTATGTGCGAGAGGATTGCTGGACTACTCGACATGGACTGGTAACCGGATGAGAGGCCGTGGATCGCCATATGACTACACCGTCTTATCGACTTTCCTCTCTCCTAGGATAAATATGTTGATGATTCCTGAACAAATAGCCTAAGCTCACAATGCATTTTTTCACTTTCGCATTTTGTTGGTTTTATTTCTTTATTTAGGAAACAAAAATGTCAACAGTCATTTTGTCCAAACCAAAAGGAACAAAGTGAACAATGCAATGTTGGTGTATGTACTGGTGAGGATAATGGTGATGGAACTGACGAAAGTGGGTTCACTATTTTTGTTTTTTACGTCTCATTACAGATGAAAGATGAGAGTGTCTAATAGGACATTAATTCAATTTAATATTTTGATTCTCAGGAAATTATTGTATTAGACAGTGTTGTTTTCATTTTTAACCAAATATTTAAGTCAGAGCCGATATTGCTAAGACCGAATAATATTGAGAGTGGGAAACTGAGCTCTTTTTGTCTGATGTCAAATCTTCAAAGTGACAAATTTCTGAAATAAAATATAATAAATTATTCCTAAATTACAGAATTATCTATATTGAACATAATCACATTCAAATATATTTGAAAATTTGATTTGTTCCGTTATCCCCGTTTCTAGAAAAGTGAGTTGCAATTTTTAATAGCGCAGTTGTAGTTTATATTTGAATAGAAACTATAACCGAAAGGCTTGCATGTGATAAAGCGTTTGGATTCCAATTTTGTTTTCATTGTATGTGGACGCTGAATTAGGATTCGAATATTTTTAATGTGTAGCTGGAGACTGAAAAGATGATATGTGTGTTAATAAATTTGTGCATTAATAATTTATCATTTTTAGTATAGAACCCTCGAGTTCACATTGGACTAGATCTCTACCTCATCTTGCAATTACACAATTAAACTAACGAAAACAAGAAATAAAAACAAGTAAATAGTTAATGTCTTAGGAGTAGTAATAATAATAAGATTTAAATTTCACAGATAACAGCATCTTTGAAATGAGAGAATTGAAAATATCAAATACTTTATGTGGATCATCATCTAATATCAAATGGTACTTTGGTGATTTCAATGGTGATAGACGAACTGATGCGTTATGTATCACTTCGGGTGGTAGCCTGTAAGTACTTTGTTTCATTTTTAATGATTTTCTTTATATTCTCACTAAATTTATTAGGAAGTGCTGTAGAAGAAAAATACCTTCTGAAATACTATTGACTATTTGTAAAGATATTTTTTCTAAGTAAATGCTTGGAATAACTTATTGAAAACCTGTCATCAATTCCGTTGAAATTGTAAAATTTGTGCTACTGAAGATAAATGTTTAGATCTTTCTCATTCATTTCAGTTCTCTTGGGCATGCAAATACAGTTGGAAATGTCGAAAAACTACATTGGAAAGGAACAGCAAGATCTTGTTCCAGAGAAAATATTTACATCGCTGATTTTAATGGAGATGGTAAAGATGACGTACTGTGCAAGGATGAAATGAAAAGGTAAGAATTTAATTACATATATTTTGTTAAGGTCATCTTGTTTTGAATTCAATAAGTCGTCAGCAGAAAGATGGAATCTGTTCCTTTTTGTTTTCGTCGCAGATTTTGACAGAATAAGATCCTGCTCTGATTTCTAGTAGGCTTATTCATAAAATGATGATCACTTCAAGGTCATCTCTTCTGATTTAGACTTTGGAGGATGTTTTTGTTTTAAACAAATAGGAAATAATATCACACTAGAGGTTTAAATACTAATATAAAATGAACATTCTGTTCTTGTTTTCAGGAGGCTTGTTTTGTTATATGCAAATAGCGTAGGAGTATTAAGTGAAAAAGAAGTTGATGCAGGAAATTTTTGCACTGATCCTTCTGATAATCTGGTTCTTATCAATATGCCAAACTCAAAAACTATGGATCTTCTTTGTCACTTCGAAGATAAACATATCGAAGTTCGATCGAATATTGGAGGTTGATTAGACATTTGAAAATGATGGACTCATTCATAGAAGTGTCATATTTACATACTCGAATTCTCTTTACAAGGCATATTTCTTTTGTACCATGGCCTTTTCATTTATGGGACTGTGAATTAGGTATGGTCAGGTGTTTTTCCATACGATCCATACCGTAGGTATTTTCACAAGAGGATTTCAATTTTGAACATTTTCAAATTTTTTTGAGCATTTACCTTGAAATATACATAGGAGACACAATTTTGGAAATCAAATGTTTGATATCTGCGATTACCATACTTCTATATGTATCCATGACTCTAATTTTGAATAACAGTTCATATGAGTGCACTTTGTCCTGATATTCATGTGGAGCCTACTCATTTATAATATATAAAAGGGATTTTGTAACCATTTGCTGTTATTTTTTCTCATGGTATTGCGGTATGAAATATTGTTTATTATTTCTGAATGTCTTCATTTGTTCAATACTTAAACGTTAAAGTTTATGCTTTATTTGTTTGATTTGGCATGTATTACTATCCTATTTATTTTACAATGTATACTGTTTATATTTCAAGCTTGTGCATTGATTTGACTTCTTTTATGTATTACTCGATGCTTTGTTGGTATACCTATTCAAATTTGCTAGTGAATTGGTCAGTCTATTTTTGATGATATTTTTGGTATTTTTACTGTAGGTCTTTTGATCAATTTTCAGCTCACAGTTTCAGCTTGTTTTTCTTCAAAACTAATGTGCCGATCATTTTCAGATTTTCAGTGCTTGAAAATGACAGAAGTCGCTACAATGCTAATTTTTTATTTGGAAATGACCTTAGAATTCTGTTGAAGTTGGTAATTTGCCTCAAAATTTTTCTGCTTCAGTTTAATTAAATGAGGGTACATTTCATTCTTTATTGCTCTACTACCCTTGTACTGCTTGTTTACAGATCTTTTCTTGCAAACTTGATTGTTTCGTGTGTTAATGTTCCGGAACGATGCACGGCATCTATTACTATGTATTTGAACAACGCCCTCTTGTGGTGATTATTTAAAAAAAATTGGGTGCTTCTGAAGTATGCGCATCAAGATGTCGCATAGCCTGAACCCCAGCCTGGTACACAACCTGAATTTAGGTTGTGCGCCATTTTGGTGCGCATACTTCAGGAGGTCCAAAAATTGAATATATATACACCTGTTTTTATTTTAAAGTTCCTCATTTTGTACATTTTTAAATTACAATTCAATTTATATTATTGTCTGGTGTTGATATCAGTTGTCAAAAGCGCAATGCAATGATAAATGCAATAAGTAAATATTATTGTATATCCAATCCAGAATTAGAAACTTGACATAATATTTTTATTACTGATATGTTACAATTACATTTTTATAAATTGAAGAGAGTTAATTTTTATTCATTTTGTTTTTTTTGAAAACTTTCAATTTCAGTTTTATGTTGTGTAAATGTTTTATTCTTGATGTTTCTATTTTATTCTTGGAGAAATTTTTGTTGTTGTAAACCAGCATTACAGAACCATACTTGTCTGAATGTTACTAACAACCAAAGCTGTGAAATCCAGACTCAGAGTTTGCTATTTGAATCCGAAGTTTGACTCTCTCAGCATTGGTTTTTGTATTCCAAATAGACAAATATTTATTCGTGTTAAATTAAATATGTTATGTGTTCATTTTTACAGTTAGTGCAAAGTTGACAAAAATGTCCTGACATAATTGTTTTATTAATACTACCAATATGAGCAGTATATGCCTTGTGGTGGCAAAATATGGTTGAACTTCAACCAGTAGACACTGTAATTCCAGGCAAATCTTGTGGACCTATGACTGAAACAACAACAAATAGAAAGAAATTAAAGACAGCTGGTGGAAGATCGAAAGGTGAAATTGACAATAATCAATACCTTATTCCATTTGAGGGTTTAGAAATGGAAAAATTTTATCTGGTTTAGAAATAGTTTGCTAGTTGCTTTATTCAATACAGTCATGAATGCCAGAGAAAGTTGTAAGACGTAACACAAGAAGTCACAATAAGTTTTTATTTTCTTGGAGTAGATTGGAATCCTAGAATCAGTTAGTGTTACTCGAAAATACTTTCCTTCCCTTTCTTTTTATTTTTGTTGTACTCTGAAGCAATTTCCTTTAATCTGACAGTACAGAAATAGATTCCTGTTAGCACACAGCAAGACTGAATTATGATTTGTGATTAATTCGATTTGCAGGTATTCATATAAATTGATTTTTTGGAAAATTATGATATACAACAAATTACTTCTAATAAAATTTAACAACATCATTAGCATTGCAAAAATGGCAACCTCTCAGTGCCAGTGGCTATAAACCGAAATTTTGATTGGCTGAGATCTCAATTGAAATTTTTTGAACAGCATTCCCTAAATTTGAACTAAAATGTTTGGCTACAAATTTTATCTAAATTATGACCTTCTGAATAGATTACTTTTCAGATAATTTATATGGCAGGCTTCATCTGTGATTTATTCTAATAAATATATTGTCTTGTTGATATTCAGATATAGCAATTATTTTTTACAGGTGTTCGATCGTCGAGTACTACAACATGTGATGTCACAAAGCTTATTGTTGTTATCATCACAATTCTAATTCTTGTTTCTGCCCTCATTGCAGTTGTCTTAGTAATTGTTATGGGTATGTATGATTCATGAATGCATTATGCATTTTCTTTTTTAAAGCTGAATTTTACAACTTTGCTCTTAATAAGACTTTATTCAGACAGCTACTCAGATATCGGGAGCTACTAAATTTAGAAAAACTGCAAAGTGGCCTAGTGGTTGAAACGCTGGTCTTTGCTATGTTAGCATCACAAGTTTAAAATATATGGTTCAAATACCATGACCATTATCTCTCTCTGTCTGTCTGCCAATCTCTGTCTTCTTTCCCTGTTTTAAATGGTGGAGGAAATAATTGGTATGCATACCATATAGTATGATAGCATTCATAATATATCCAAATTTTCGACAATAGTATTTTATAATAGTTATCCAAATCATGATTGTCTTCAATATTCAGAAAAAGGACCATTGAGTTGGGGAAATTTACACCCAGCTACATTCAAAAAATGACCACCACTTTCGGAATCACTAAAATCTCGTCTCTCCTCCACCAGGTTGAGAGAAATTTTGCCTTGGACCCCTGCTCTGAGAAAACCAAATTTTTGATATCTAAATCTTCTGGGCATTCAAGATTTTTCCTCCTGTTGAGAATGCTTAGTTAAATGGATGAGTTTTCGTTGGAAACTTCAGTCAACACTTTTGTTGCCCGTAGTTCCAACTTCTGATTCGGATGGGATCAAAATTTTGATTTCTAACTCCAGTATTGATAAAATCATGCAAATTTCTCGACGCTCTTGTTCAGAATGCTTACATTTTGTTTTGTAATAACTTGCATTGATGAGCTTATCACTGAATAATCATACCCAACGGAACAATTGATAGAATTTTTTCAGTTCGAATATCTTTGTTTTCAGATCAAATGTCATCTTCATTAAGAGCTTTTGAGAAAGCATCATGTGATGAAGTAGAACCAACGCCTATGCATATAAATTCATGTTTAAGTGCGTCAATTATATTTTATTAATGAATTAGTCTATCTGAAATATTGTGATATATGATTTGCAAAACTCAAATAATTTTAGGATGGCAAAATTAAGCAAATGTTTTTTATTATTACTTTGTGGCTTTGAATTCCAACATTCTTTTTTAAGCTTTCTATTGTCCTTGTTCTAATAGATTAGGTTAATATTAATGTGATGCGATTGTAAAAAACATATGCTGTAAAGTGAATTTATTGGAACACAGGAATATTTGTTTTGTGTGAGGGCTCGACCAGTGGTATATTTTGATAATGGTACCAACTCTGTGTACATACATTTGAGCATTGCCTTCTTGTCTTCTTTCAGATTCTAACTGTCGATTTGATCTTTCTACTTGTTTTGAACCATGTCCATTCGGCTATAGAACAGATGAAAGTGGATGTGAAGATAGTTGTGAATGTGCTATTGAAGGAAGTTTTGAAGGAGATATTGCATTTTCTGAAGATGAAATACCTAAATTAACAGAAGTGTGTACAATTGAAAATATGATAAAGTTTGTTGGTCAAATTAAAATACATCATCTGTCAAATATACAGTAGACATTTTTCCCACATTCCTCACTTTGTCTACTTCGAAAGTCTTTTTCCCTCCTCTAGATAAAGTGCAACAGATACACTATTACCATTTTGATATTTGCCCTCATTTTAGTAATATATACTTATAAACGAATAATGAATAAACTGCGATTACTGTTGTCAATATGATATTTTTTTCCTGAAACTCAAGATTCAAGATGTTGAATTTGAAATAATAAGTTTAAAAATTAGCTGTTTTCGTGAAGTTCAAAATATCTTGACAAAAAAATATTTCTTGTCAAATTTTCTCTTTCAAATATATATTACTTTAATTAGCTACATAGCAGTTTATTCAAAACATTTAAAATAGAATGAATTGCATACAACACCACCATACAGATAGAGACATTGTCAGGTCTGTTATAGACCTTTGTAGTAATGAAACAATTTCAATGGAATTACTAACAATGTCATATATATATCTAGCTTTATGGATACTCAATGCCTGGGGATTTTGACGTATTTTCTGGTTCGTCAACAACAGGTCGTATATGGAATGATAAACCTGTAGATGAGAGGCATAAAATCTACTATCAATGGGCATCTTCTGTTAGTGAGTAGAAAACATTGTGTTTCATTTTTACTGGCATTTGGAAAAAGAGTGAGCATAGCGACCGATTTGTTATTGTGTTTTGGTGGTAAAATTTCTCGGCAACTAATTAATTTCCAATGCCCAATCATTGGAAGAAATTGCTAGATGTCTATTGCTTTTATTTTATCTTTTCAAATTCAGTTCTATCAGTCCTGATATATATATTTTTTTTAATTCATGGAACACTCATGATGTATAGAAACTTTTTATTCAGTCGCACTTGTCCACTAATGTTTCCAGCAAACTACATGCTCAGCTTAGATCTTATTCGTATTGGTGCATGGCCTGCATGTTAACTTATATAAATAAGAATTACCGGTACTCTCTTGTTTCAATCAACTAAAGCATAAATCCATATTTGTTTTTATAATAAGCAAATCTGTTTGTTTTTGTTGTGTTAGTAGTGTGTAACACACATGCTTTATTGTTGTATAACTAACAGTATCGTTATCTAGATGGTGATATATCCTAGAATTTCGTTGTGCAAATGGTAGCATTTTTCAAAGAATGGCAATTTTGGTCACTTTTCGAAATAAAAATGATTTCAAACTTTAAGCTAGATACTATTTATTGAATATTACAGCTGAAAAAGCAGAGAAGGCAATTATTGAAGCTATTAAAAGATATAAAGAAAAGACATGTATCGATTTTATTGAAAGGAAAACTGAGGAACGTTATTTCAGATTCACTTCGGGAAGAGGTTGTATGTGAGTGCAATCATTATTCACATGTATATAGGACCCGGGAGTTAAATCAAAGGAAACTTTAAGCTGATCATAAATTTTTCAATCCACTATTTGATTTATATCATTATTTTTTGCCGTGATGAACAGTTTGATTGATACACAATCCTGCAACACATAATTTATGGTAGCGTTGTTTGGTGTCTGAAAAATGTTGTGTCCCACTTGTCCCGAGTGTGGCTCACATTGTAGGAAGATAAAAACTTCATTATGGAATTTGCGGTTGTGCAAAGAACCTATTTTTGAAGACTACATCACAGGTACACAGCAATATGTAGAAAATTGACACCAACAGTTCTCAGGAGCTTTCCAGGAATCGTCCAGGGTTCTTGCTTAGGACCTCTATTCTTCATTTTATACATCAACAATATCTCTAATTGCCCAGATCTATTGACTGGAGTATTTGCCGATAACACTGATCTTCTTGACAGCGCGAAATTGATGTCAAACCTTAAGAAGTGTGTAAATAACTATTTGCTCCAAAGTATATATTTATCATAACTCAGAATAGTGGAACCAATGTGCTGGGAAGGGATAAGATAACATATTTTAGACATTGGTATTTTTCAACGATTTCACAAATCATGTTTGAATAAATCTTGCGTTGTTAATAACTTCAATAGGTCAATGATAGGAAGGCATAGAAAGAATGGACAACAAGTATCTATAGGTAAAGGTTGTGAGATACCAGGTGTTGTTCAACACGAATTACTACATCTGCTCGGATTTCATCATGAACATTCTAGACCAGATCGAGATTCCTATCTTAAAGTTTTAGAAGAGAACATACTCAAAGGTAAGGCTTGAAGTCAGTTAACAAATTGCTAAGTTCAAGGTTTTAAGTAATATCTGTAATATTTGTTGAAGTTTGCAGGGGGCATGCTTTAAGGTTTGTGTTGACAAAAGAAACTTTTTTAATTCCAATCTTGAGAAATATAATTAGTTAGAAAATTCTCTAGGAGAAAAGTAGTTCGAGATTAGTTACTTTAGACCAGGGGTTCCCAAACCAGGAGTCGCGACCCTAAATTGGGTTGGAGTAGTAAGTAGGGTCGCAAACAGGTCATGGGGTCGCTGAGGTAGGGTGGAGGATAATTGTACAAATCATCTAAGATTTGACAAACTATGTTAAATTTAGCAGTTTGTACCATGGCTTACTGTAAAAGAGGCTCATAAGCATCGCTCCATGTTTATGATATAGAAAATGTAGATGCTTATTGTGACATCACTGTTTGGTTTTAGCTTATTTTACCTAACACCTTCACATGACCAAACTCAAAAGTCCAGTGAAAGAAGCTCTATAAAGTTTCATGAAAAATATATATATTGACCTGGGGTCGCACTGGACACTTGAAAGTTGTCCTTGGGGTCGTACTGAAAAGAGCCTGGGAACCCCTACTTTAGACAATTGTCATGATGCTGTTTTGTTACTGGTTTTGCATATTTTGTCTCCCGTGTTCATTTATATATCATTCATTAGCTAAAATGCCCTTGTTGCCATTATATCAGTTTACTAGTATAAATTATTTTTCATGTTTTAGAAAGATTTGGCAACTTCAAGAAGAGATTAAAGAGTCAAGTGCGAGATCTTGATTCAGAATATGATATAACTTCTGTAATGCATTATCCAAGTAATGCATTCAGTAAAAATAAGAAACCAACAATACTAAACAGGAAAAATGATAAATTAGTAAAAGCACAAAGACGAGGATTCACAAATGAAGATTTATATGAAGTCAATTTATTGTACAACTGCTACAATGAATTAGCAGCAGCAGGTGAGTGGTGTAGATGTCAATGGTGATTTTCAATTTTTTTGCACTAGTGGAAAACTACAAATAGTTCTTAATAGTTCAATCTTATCCTGTCACATTTTAAAGTAAAAAGTATAAATTTTGAATACTCTGTGATGGATTTATTCATATATGTTTGATACAAACTAAATATATAAAAAGTTGATTTTTTATCTCAGAATTGAGATATATTGTATATTCATTGTCTTGTAATGATAAGATTTATAGATAATGTGGAATATAATTTGAAGATTGTATTCTTTGGACAAGACTGTACTGGTTTAAAACATGAATAATGCACTATAAGCCTTTTGAATAATTAGTGAACAAACCTATATAAAAAACAGATAGTTTTATAAATAGTACAGCGATAGCCAGGGACTGCAGACTGACACTTTGTTAACACTGTCCAACCAGCCAGTGTTGGAATTCTCAGCGATTGACTCTACTGAGACTCACCTGAGTCGTATTTTCGAATTTACTGGAGTCTGAGTCAAAATTTGAATTCTGAAGTATGAATCAGAATTGCAGTCTTTCAATTGAAGATAAAAAAAGTTAAAACTACCTATAAAACTCAAAGGGCATTAAGTTTAATGAGCATTCTTTACAGTCTACCAGAGGAGGTAGCGAATGCCTACTTTTTGTAATCAAAATGTGATTTGAGTTTGAAAGCCGAAATTAGAAGTCAAAACTGAATCAAATGGAAGCCAGAGTCGATTGTAAATTATCGCAGACCAACAATTGATATGTTTATATTTTTAGCCAATGGGCATCTGGACACCATGGAGTTTGTGTGATGAGACTTGTGGATTTGGCGAAAGATCTAGATTTAGAAAATGTAAAAATATGAAAGATGAAATAGTTGCAGGATGCAAAGGTGCTAATTGGTTGGTGCTCGCAAATTTCACAGATCATGACTAGGGCTGGACATTTCGAACCGAATATTCAAATTGATTTGAATAGTTAAATTATGTAAATCTGTTCTGTCAAAAATTTTAAATTGGCACCATCTTGTTTTTCTGTTAAGTGAGGGTAATCCCTAATTTTTGTTTATTGAAACCATATTTTCAAAATGCTATCTGAATATGACTTTTTCTTCCTAGTGAGTATTTGATGTAACTTGTTTCTGTTATTTGTTAACATTCAGCGAACTGTCTGATTGATGGATTCTATCTTTTCAATAATTTATGTGTCTGGAAGACATATTACAAAAAAAGTCACATGTAATTATCTATCTTCCAAGTATTTGAGATTCGATTTGATTCGAAAAAAATATGATTCAATTAATAAATCGTAAAGATATCGAAATGCCCAGCCTAATCATGACTGTTTTGCAATCTAGAGGAATATAATTATTTGAAATAAGACCCGCTCAATCATGAGACACAAAAAAAATACTTTCAGTTAATGAACTCCTTCTGTACCTATATAAATTAGTTTTAAAATAGTTTTCATTAATTTTTTATTTTGAATCGAATTTTTGTTTATAACCAGTTTGTGCTTTACTTTTTTCATCTTGGATTTAAAATATACCAATGACTATTACTGGAAAAGTTTCATGGCAAGATTTGTTCAGTTTTTCTTCATAAGATCTACCGGTTCTAAAATACGATTCTAAGATCTAAAATACGGTTCTAAATCTCAAATCTTTCAGCACTGACCACGATTGATACTAATCTTCAGGTCAGTTTTTTATCATTATCAAATTCCTGTCATCAACCTATATTTAGGATCTAAGTTTCAACGAATAGCCTGCCAAGGTCCACCATGTCCACGAAAAGCTGGGAGATGGAGTGAGTGGGGATCTTTCACAGAATGTAGTGAGAAATGCAGCGGTGGTTTCCAATGGAGGTTTGTTCAATACAATATCATGGTTGAATCTCCTGGGTATTCAAATATTTTTATTGCGTTGCCTGTACTTAGCAATCCTGAAAAGGCTTTGGAGAAAAATATCTTGGATAAGAAGCTACGAAGATTAGGAAAATCAAAAAATATTTTCTTTATATTTGCATTTTGTTTTGTTACAACACTGAGTATTGTTCTTATTATTCCTTTTACTCTGTTTCAGTGACTTGAGAATTGAACATATATTCATAATTAGATAATGTTCAAAGTCTGCATGATCTACTTTTCTTTTCTTATTTTAAAAAATCACCAATAGTAAAGGTTTACAACATTGAACTAGTTTTTAAATAACATACTTGACTCACACTGGTGATTTCTCAAAACCATGTGGTTGCTTATATTAGAGTTAAGCCGTCAACTGCAATTTACCTGTGCTGTGAATATTATAAATACCATCCTGTATTTGTGCAACCAACTTGACCTGGAGTAGGGGCGTCAACATTTAGATATATTCTCACCTAACAGGAGAAGAAGATGTACTGCTTATGGTGAATGTGAAGGTGTATCATATCAAGGACAATCCTGCAATAAAGAAGTTTGTGAAGGTAATTTGAAGATGTGGACAATATTTCATTTATCACTTTCATGCATAAGAGAATGTACATAAAAATGTATTGTCTGTACATATATATAACAGTAGTTGAGGGATGAAATGTATCAGAATGTTGTTTAGTTTTCTCTGAAGCTCGGTCAAAGTGAGGCATAAACTAAAAGTGGAAAGATCACAGATAGAAAGGTAACAAAACACAACTTTTATGGCAAAGAGCTGCATATTGACCTGCAATTTTTACAAAGGTACCCATAAATACTCTGACTTTGAGCTATTAATTAGCTTGGTGGTGTGGCGCATCGTGCTAAGAGTTAGGAATACACTTGTGACTGCACCTTTGATTACCCTGCATGGATTCGAATTCTGTGGAAGATAATTATGTGCAAGAGGATTGCTGGATTTTCTCGCTGCCAGGGAGGGGTTCATTCCGCCCATCACGTCCATGCATCTGGAACAAATAACTGGCTAACTAATCCCATACCAACGGACTGGTAACCGGACGAGAGGCCGTGGTTGACCATGTTTTTGACCAGTCTCATTGGCTTTTCTTTTCTGTGGGATAATTATCTAAACCCTATATTAAAGGTCCTTGTCAGGTAAACAGCAAACTCCCCATTGCAATAGTTGTTAAAAACAATTCATGAATAAAAACTAGCTGCCAAAATTGGATGAAAAGTATTTTGGGCATTAATGATGGAAAGCTTTCACAAACAAAGTCTGTTGTAATGTTTATCGAATGAGATTAGTGAAACAACATAACTGAGAAGCTAGTTTTAGATCAACAATTTTACTTTTTAGGTATGCCAAGGTGGGCAGAGTGGTCTGCTTGGAGTACTTGCAGTAATAGGTGTGGAGGAGGATCAATGGTCAGTTTGATTTTAACAATTATATTAGGCTCACAATCGATTTGAAAATGTGAATTTCATATCATTACATTCATGTGTCTAAATGTCACTGTTTATTTAGTCAGTTTCAGGTGTTTTGCTATCTTAGTTCATTGATTTACTTGACAGCCGAAGGTTATACTAGATATTTTGTATTGAAGTACAACTCTTTTCTCCTTGTTCTATTTTTGAGATTTCAGCATGAGATTGTCAATTTTTGAGCAAGTCAAGCGAAAAGCTTATAAATTTTATATTTCTGTCTCACTCTGTCCTTGGTATGAGATAATAGACTGTTATGGGTATTACCATTCAATTACACCAAGTAGTTCTTTAATTTTTTTCTTGACATAATTGTCCTAACCGAGATTCTAAAAAATGTTGCTTGATTCAATAATAGCTTTTTTTTTTCCAAATTTGTGCTTTTTAGTTTAGCAGTACTACTCCCTAATTTATTTCTTTAGTTTCTGTTTTTTATTTTCACAAATTGAATAACTTATCAAAAGCCTACTTTTCACAGTCACGCAAACGTCAATGCTTAACTGTTGACTTCGTAGCAGCATTGACTTGTGAAGGGGATGATGCAACAGGAGTTGAGACACAAAGAAAAGATTGTAATACAAATGACTGTGGTGGAATTTCCATTGAGTCTGATTATGAAAATCTTTGGTCTAGTTGTTCATCTAGTTGTGAGGGTACAAAAACAAGGTAAAATTTGAAAAGGAATTTTCTATACCTGAACTTCAGAAACCATTATACTTCAAATTCATGGATGTCTGAAATCAATTGAGTATTCAATAAGGTTCAAATATACTAATTTCTTGAATAATTACGGTCCCTGGATATATTAACTTGAAATTAATGCAACAAGATGGCATTGGTCAATTTCTTGGTCGGCCTTTTTAATTTTGTTCATTTTCAAAATTGGCTTTCATAAAAATGACCTGGTCACCAAATAATATCTGCAATATTCTCTGTTAAACGTGACTCTGTTTTTATATACATTTTCCAAACAATATATATGGTTTCAGTCATCCCAGATGGATTTTGAAATTCTCTATATCTAGGTTTACATATACCAAAATATCCCAAATAAATTATTTTTGGTCATTGAATACAATTTTTATTGCTTTCGCAATGCCAGGCAATGTTTTTCGCAGGGAAAGAATTTGTGAAGGTAGCTGTCCTCCTGGTCAAAATATTGAAAAACAACCATGCAATGTTGGTGCTTGTGATGGTCCGAGTATGTTTTCATATTATTCTCATTTTTTGCTGTAACAAAAGTTGTTTTCAATTATAACATGCTTAATTGCCAGTAGGTTAGGATTTACATATTCATCCAAGGGAAGATAAAAGGCTTAATCATATGGCGAACCACGGCTCTTGTCCGGTTACCAGTCCATGTCGGGTTGGGGGACTTGATGGTAGAGGAAGCCGCAAAGGACCACCGGTTACCAAACCATCCTGTGGCGGCGAGGAGTCCAACAATACTCTTGCATATAATTATCCCCACATTGGATTCAAACTTGCGAACTCACCAGGGTAATCAGAGGTGCGGTGGCGAGCGTATTCCCAACACTTAGCACCGCAACGCCGAGCCATCAAGACACTAATGTATTACTATTAAAGAATAACCGTTTCAATTTTCTGTCTAGAGTGGAGCTGAGTTATTTAGTGTTAGGAATTACTAGAAATTGAGGTAATATCAATTCCAGTTGTCGAACATCCTGTTTCAAAGTTTTAGAATCCTCATTATAATATATGAAAATATCCATTACATGATACATCTTTATAAAATTAAACATGCTACAATTCATTGAATCTGATAGATAGACTAACGTCATAATTTGGCCACTTTTGTAACTCGTACCATTTTTCTGATCATCTTTTCATGACCCTTTCATCAGGAGTGTATTAATTTTTTGTAAGTTTCAACACCTCAAAATGGCTCGCAATTTGTATTCAATAAGTTATCCGGCCTTTCTCTCTAAGCTCATGATAGGGCAATTGCATAACTAATTTTTTTCCACATAACTTTGAGCCAGGTATTGTAATATAGAAAAACTGTTGTTTTATTCATAGGGCCAGAACTGTATCTCACGGATGTGGTACAGATGCCGCAAGTACTTTGTAATCCATCAGCAAAAAATAGGTGGTATTTTGGCGACTTCAATGGAGATAAAAGAACAGATGCACTTTGCATGTCTGATAAGGAGTTTTTGTACGTATCTTTATTTTACACTCGAGAATCCGATACTTTAAAATCAATCATATTTTAGCATTTGAATAACCAAACAAGCTTTTGGCAGAACATTGATGTTTAACTGTATCAGTTTTTGCTGTTATCAGATTGTGAGAGCTGCACCAAATGAAGCACTATACTGCATGAAACCTATTTTTAAATTTTAATCTGGCTGTCATAAAACAATCAAGCAATACTATTTAAATCACAATAACTATGACAACTTCATGTTCATTGTCTGACGAGTTTTGACTGTAATTATATTTCCTAATTATACTAATTATATCTCCTGATATACTACTGACGCAATTCCCGATTTTGATCCAACTAGTCCAATCTTAAGGGTATGATATGAACAGTGATATTGCAGAGAATTAGACTATTTTTTTTTAACGTGAGAAATAATACACTATGAATGTCGTCACTGTATCTGCCATTTTCTATAAAAATCCCCATTCAAATATTATTATTGATGAAGGTCATAGCGAAAAAAAGTTTGTATTGTTTCATTCGAATTCATTAAACAATTTTGGTTATGTAATTAGTTTTACTGTCTTTGAACAAACAGTTTCCTTTGCCTGTAGTGAATTCAGTGGGTGAAATTGAACTAAATTCAACTTGTAATTTCAGTAAGCTTGCACATACAAGTCCTGATGGTGCACCAATAAAACTGAACTGGCAAGGATATTTACGAGAATGTACTGGCTGGTTCAGATTTATAGGTGATTTCAATGGAGATGGAAGAGATGATGTTCTTTGCAGAGATGATCAATCAAGGTATTAGTTTCTACATACAGTCTATTCAATAAAATTGTTCTATCAAGAGATAAGACACTTACAATGTTGAGAGTATTTTCTGTGTGTGCCACTTGCTCTCGTTAGACAAGTGTAATACATTGGACACTAGAGACAAGTGGGTCACATGAGACATGTCTGACAAGTGGGATGCGATATTTTTAAGACACCTTGTTGAGAGTAGCATCTAATTGTTTTCCAGACAAATTGACCTTGAAGTTTATTAGCAGTTAGTTATTTAGCAATGAACTGACGACCAGAGCTTGAATCTTAGACACTCATTGACACCCCATTACATAACTTTCTTAAGGCAGCAATAATTAAACAAATAGAGACAATGAGCAATCTTTACTAAACTTTCGAGATTCTTTGGCAAAAAATGTGCCTAGAAGAGAAATAATAGTATAAAGACTCATTTGTTAAGATGGACACTCCATACTCTTACTCTCCAAATTTCTAAATTTTCATTGAGGTCTATTAAGGATAAAATTTACATATTTATCTGTTGGGAGGAGAAAGCCGATAAGACAGCTTAAACATATGGCGAACCACAGTCTCACGTCCGGTTACCAGTCCATGTCGGGTATGGGATTGGTAAGCCAGGTATTTGTTTTCAGATGCATGGACTTGATGGTGGAGGAAGCCGTACTGTATTGGAAATGTTAGTATTTCAGATGACAATTGCTTCCATCATTAGATTTTGTACTATTGTGGCAGCAAAAAAAAGTTTATATATTGTGTTGAAATTCTTAGTTGTGTGTTCATTTGAGACCATTTATATTTTTTTCAACAGAAAATTGACAATAAAATTCGCCAATAAAGATGGACAATTTGATGACTTGGAATTGAATGTAGGAAATTTTTGTACACAACCAGCAGATAGGATATTCATAGCTGACGTAAACGGCGATGGAAAAGCTGATCTTATTTGTCGTTATGCTAATGTGGATATAGAAATACGGCTCAATAGAATATGAAATGTTATTCATGGGTAGCTGAATGCAAAATATCTGGAGATTCAACATGTGAATTTTCTCTCCATTGACAAATACATGAAGTTGCTGCATCCCTCAGTCACCATTTCAAATTTATCACAATGCAAGAGGTTAGTCAGGGTATCATCTTCTCCAATCAGTTCAATCATCACTTTAAAAAATACCAATATATGTGATGAATAACACATATGCATTGGTAATACCTTAAGTCATGTGATGGCAAGAGGTTGTCAGATACGATCACGATGTGGTCTGTTGAACAAGATATTGAAAATGCTAAATTAAACCCTAAATTTTATAACGGAGTGCAGAAAATTACTTGAATTGGTATTGCATTTGTAGTTCCTGCATAGACAAAATTATTTTCAGATGTAGGTGCACACTATGGTGTTAGTTACTGTATATTAGGCGAATTAATGTGTCAAACTCAATGTCCAAAGACATTCGTTATGCTTTTTCACCCAAAATTGCCACTCAGTTCCGTGTCCGGGATGTTTCAATTCAAAATTTTGATGGGACTATTAGGAAAGTGTGGCTTATTTTATTCTAAAAATGATTTGTTTTAGAAATGATATAGCTTCATTTGAGTAGAGACTATCTCAGTAGTCATTGGGTTAAAAATATTATCTTTTGTTTGTAATATGGTGAAGAAACTTATTTTATACTTGCCTATTATCATTTGTTTTTTTAAATTTCCTACTAGACCTCATGCACAATAAGAATAAACTTCTAATTTAAAGTGCTTCTTCTTTTGTTAACATGCCCTCAGAGTGTGGTCTCTGTACTTCGGCACACTGAAACATGCTTCCATGGAGTATTGCTGTCATATTTGAGTTGATCCCTCTGTAACTGCACTAAACCAAATTAAAGAACTACTGGCTCACAATTGGCGTTTCCAAACACTCTACCACGACAAAATATGGGCTCGTGTTTATTCCCAAAACTTCAGTTGAGTGACTACGCTCAAAAGGGCAGTTTTTCTTATCCTATTGACTTAATTGCTCAACGTCGCATGTCAATCAACATTTTGATACGTAATGCACAAACTTATATAGTTCTTGGCATCTCGACGTAGTTGCCAGTAGTAGTAACATTGCCTCTCTTACTTCAACTAAATGCTTCAGCACCATATCAATATGCATGAACATGAACAACTTGCTTTTATAACTTCGTTTGAAAAATTTTGAAATGATAGATTGAAAAATAGCATTGCATTTCCATATAAACAGTAGCGTGACTGTTCAAGTACACATCAGAATCTCTAGCTCCAAATACCAAAACAATTATATATGGCTTATTATCGCTGCCATTTCACCACACAATAAGGCACATTTTCTACAGCATTGATTTATTGCACAGTTAAGTGGTTAGTTAACAATACATGACTAAACTATTAAATATTTAAGAGATTAATATCATACTAAGCATGAAACAATAGAATTTATTAATAAGTAGCTTCTTCCAACTTATATGAAAATGGAAACTAAAGCACCGTACCTTACTACTCATATTTGAATGTTTAGCAATGAGGTTTGACATTTCTTTATAGATTTGAAAAACAAGTGTTTTCATCGTTCTAATAGCTACAAACTGTCTCTATGACAATACCATTCTTGAGGAGCATCTATTTTATTTGGTGTTAGGAAGATGGTTAAATATATGAAAATTTCGTTGATGCTTCTGTAATAGCTCCTGCTTTCAACAATCCTTGAAGTGCAACACCTTGATATGGATTATATAATCATGACGAATTGCATGGTTGGTGCATGTGTAAATCATCATACTGAAGTCTCTTGTATAGAAGAAACAGCATTGGCCATAATGGAACTGATTGTACTATACCAGTTTCAGATGAGTATATGATCATGTCATAATTACCTACCAACAACGATTGCTTCTTTATGACAAGCATCACCTTTTGGCCGCTAAATGACTTTTTGCATCTTCATACGTGTAACGCAATCTGAAAGCTTCCGCAATAAGAAGACCAATTTCTTCATCTCCCCAGTGATGAGTTGGTACATTTTGTAACCTCAACATCAAACCCTGGAAATAATATTACATTAACAAGAAACAAAGCAAAATTTTTTTGAATGGTTTGCAGGATGGTTGAACAGGCTTTCGATTTTAATGCATGGTATCAATATTCTGTTTTTAGATAAGGAAAAAATGGATTTTCATGATTTTAGAATGGACACGCCACATAGGATGACTTCTTCATATGGTAAACGTGTGCCAGGGTTTGCATGGTCTCAAACGCATATACTTGAACCACCCACATTCAGTCCCACTTAATAAGAAATTCTGTTCTATTTCAGAATTCAAACAAATTCTTTACTGGGTCAAATACTATTTATATTAATCCAATATTCGAATTCTAAATTATGATACCATTTCGCAATCTGAAGTCAGTTTACATTGAATCAGTCATTGCATGAAAATCAATTGAAATAAAACTATGCTTCTGGGTAGTGAATAAACACCCATTGTCTTATATTACCTGAAAGTCTCTTTCTTCAAGGAGTTGTTTTCTCCACTGTCTTAAAAATGCAACACAAACATACAGATGAAAATCTGAGAAGCCTTCAGTCTCTGCTAGATAAGTATCCCACAACCTTATTGTGCACCTTAAATAAAAGAAAATTCAATTATTACTTATTGAAAGATTAACTGTAGGCAATCGTGCGGACAGGGGCCAAACCTAATAAATTTTGTACAATTAAATTACGGTATTATGGCAAGACATTTTAAATGCTCGTATCAGCCATGGATTGAATATTTCACGGCTCTTTTAACGAGCGGCGTAATCATAACGACCAATGCACAGAAATTTCAGATTTGAAAATCCTGGCTGTAGGTAAGGCGTTACAGTGCGCCTTAATTTCATATTTTTTTTGCCACTCACAGAAATGCCCTTGTTCCTAATGCTACCTGTGAATGGGTCAGAAAAATATCGCCATCGGACGGACTAGGCATACCTGAGTGGAATTTCTCTCATCAATAAATTGTTCATCCATCGGAAAGCAAATTGTAGATATTCAACCTGCTCACATTCAAGATGATTGTGCAATTGTTCTGAAATAAGTAAAAGTACATTTCATCTTATAGAATGCAGCATCCGTTAAACAACAAACAATATGATACACCAGTAATATGCAGAATATAATGCAATATGTAATTTTCCTTAAGTGATTACAAAGGAACCTAGTATCATTTGTCATCCACTAAAGATGCACCGATTAAATTTACAACCAATACTTCTCAAAACGCTATATAAACACTTCAGCAATGGCACAACATTGTTTGAGCATTCAAAGCCAACTAGAGTTGATCTCGGCATATCTATGTATCAAGAATAACGAAAACAGCGATTGATCTTGTACTCACCATCAACACTTCTATTTAATTCTTTTAACCTTTGAACTTTAGTTTGTACACCGGGTTGTGCAAATGTGTAATTGTCTTGAATTCCATCAAGTAGTTTACTTGTACACCAATAAGTATCTGCTTCCATTCGATCGAGAATTTCTTGTGAAAGCTGCGACACATCATAGGTTTCAACATCATCATCAGCACCTACGAAATTAGGACTTAAATTTAAGTCATTTCCTACCCTATTTAAGCTAAGGATAACAGATTTGCTTTGAACTTGGATGGATGTTATGGACTTACCAACAGCTTAATAAAATCTGAGTAAATATTAATAGCAGAATTATTCCTCACAAATGTATTACATTGCTTAACAAGGCTCAGCAATCTATGAATGCAAATACCATGCAGTGGTTTCCAACCTTTTTTGCTAAATTCCTCCTGTTGCATATTTTTGAAACTCCTTATTTCCACCTCATTACGCATAAAACTCATAAGAAGAACATTATTTGTTCAATCTTTAATGGAGCCTTTGCTAGTGTTAGACACAACACAAGTCGCAGTTTTTTGTACGGTTTAAATAGTTCATAATGCAATCATGAATAAGTATTATTTATAGTAATGATAAAAGGCTCAAGAAGAATGGGAATACTACAGTAACCAAGAGGCAAAATTCCATCCCGGTTAGAAAACGTTGCAGTAGAGTTGAACATAGTAGGAATATAATCCTCATTTACAGGGGGAAATGCAATATATAGGGTGTCCAAAAAATTCCACCCAATAACAAATTTTCTTTGCCTATGTTTATTAATAGTTCTTATTGTGTTTGTGGTTCTCATTTATCACACAATAAAATGTATTTAAACTTAATGAAATGAATCTTTTGGATACCATGTTCAGTATCTATATAGAATTTCAATTACCAGAAAAAAACTTACTTATCTGTTCTGACAGAAAAACAATAAAAAATGGAGTAACAAGATCATTTATTCCTTGAACATATCCACTTGCAGGATGTCTGATTGCCCATATAAATAATAATCTTTCAAACATCTAAAATAAACATCAAAAAACCTACCGTAAGTATATTGAGAGAAGTGTTATACAACTTGACTACAAAACTAAGCAAATATTAAAATAGAAATGAAGATTACACAAATGTTTACAAATATTAATATAATGATTGTGACTATATACGTATTTGTAATTTTTTTGTGCTTCTGCTGTTTAGACACCCAAAAAGTGAATAGTACCAAAAAGCAGAAGTGCTCACAATTAGTCACTATGAAGTGATAAATAAAATTGTAATTTTCCAAGTCAGTCAGAAAATGGCAATTCTGTTTATTGGATAATTCTTGGTAAGTCAAAAACTGTCGAATATAAGTTATATATTGATTGCACTCATAATACATGATGCGTTCTGCCTGATATTCTTATTTCTGATTGACTTGCAAGAAGGAAGTAAAGTATACACTCACTTCTTGAACTATTTTCATCTGAAACAATGGTATGAGTGGATTTGTCCTTGGAATATCGATGTGTATCTGAAAATAGCCAAAGTCAAAAGTGTTGATTTGATCCACTAAAATTACATTTGAGGATTGAAATGAGAAACAGTTATAGCTCAAAGTTGAAAAAATTTGGTTTAATATTCAACTTGCAGCACAATGAGAATCTTTGAAAAGTATTGCTAGTATTTAACGACTCATTACATTGCCACCTACAATATTTGTAATCACCACTGAATCATATGACGTACCTGATGAAACGTTTCTTTATGCATTCCTTGTCTTTCTCTGTCGTAATAATCTCTCACAAAATTGAAATATTCTTTCCTTTTTCTTATCAAAACACTTTCACGTCTCTCTTTATTAGCAGGCATATAATCCTATAGACAGGAATGATATTATTCTGGTCATATGTTTGAATGAATGGATACATTTGCAAGGAATATGAATCATAGATTATAATTACTCACAACTGCACTGGTCTTATATGTAGTTTAAATGAGCCTGTTAATATAACTATACCAAATCACAAAAACAACCAGTCAATGTAATATAAGAATAACAAGGTATACTCATTGTAAATTATTTCATTTGAAACAAAAAAATAAGAACATTAAATACTGACATTCATATTAACATTTTAATTGGTCGCAACTCACAAAGTCCCAATAAATTAAAATATTAATGAGAGCACATTGAAACATGATAAATATCTTTCATATAAAAAACTACTTGAACTGGGTGTTTCATCTCAGTTTTGGTTGATTGAAATTTGAAACATAAAAGTATGGTCAGTAAGTTTGATCAACAAATTTTCAATTTTTTGATCTATGTATTCCTGTACACGTGAAAACAGATGACCAGTTTGCTAGAAGTCTGTGCTCAATAATTACTATCATGTTTTAAGCTGGTATACTTACGCATAATACTCTCCAGGTATCAGGTCTCATGCAGGCTGGAATACCAGACCAACTCAATTCCCGGAGTTCAGCTGAAAATTTTTTATATGGTAAGTTGGTAACAATAAATGAGTGGAACAGAAAGTTTACAATACAAACAAATCAAGCAATTTTAAAACCTACATGCAAAGGGAAGCTAATAAAAGAAACTGCTATAGGTTTTGATTCAAAGAAAAAAATGATATCTATCTAAACTGGATAAAGAAATGGATTGTGGCAAAAATATTGTAACATTTTGTTTATCAGTAATTTTTTCTGATTTTTAGTATTCATGATGAGCGCTATTATTGTAGGAATACTATTTATTACACAATTACTCACATAGATCTGTATTCGGACTGTCAATAAGATTTTTAAACTTTGAGATTCGGATGGTTTCCCTCGATTTATCAATTGTTTGAAGCGGTGCACGCATGGATTGTGTGTTCGGTGCGTTTGAGGCATCTGAAAAACACATAGATTTTCATTCATGATTGAAGCAACAATCATTACATCAATAGATGTAAAACAATAAATGCTGTGTATGTACAATAAGTGTCATATTACATGTTGTCATGAAATCTATCCCACTTAAAAATCTCACAATACTCTTTCGTATGAAAATGAAACAGAAAAATTGTGGAATGATTAGGGTCTTTCATACCATCTCAATCCTTCAATTACCTGAATTTTTAAGCCTTTAGAGTCATTTTAGTGCAAAGAAGACCTTAACTAATTTAGAAACAAGTACAAAAAAACAAATACTACCATTACGGTGATCTTTACTATTATTTGGTGGTGTTGTGATGTGTGCTTGAGATTTATCAGACTTCTCATCATCTAATGAAATAACAAAGAATCTTAAATTAAATATGAATCAATCAATAGATTCAAATACAGTGAGACAATCCGGTTAAAATACACAAACACTGATGGAAAGAGTAAACCGAAGTCGAAGATATTTTTGAGAAGAATATATTGGCAGTCAAATGTTTATACCTGTGAAAGCAAGGGTGTGCAACAATTTTTGCCGGTGGGCCATAGAACCAACCTTAGACATCCAGGTGGGCCACAGCCTCACAGAAATATAGGCACCAGGGCAAAACGGCGAAAGATTCAACACCGGGAAGAGCAAAAAACTTTATGTATTTATACCCATGTGAGCACCTTTTTGAACAAAAAATGGCAGATTAAAATTTTATGCTCAATAATACAAAATCTGAGTGCTGGCAAGGGCCACACTAAATAGCTTGGCGGGCCGGGTTGTGGACCATGGGCTGCCTGTTGCACACCCCTGTTGGAAAGAATAAGATGGGCTTAGCAAAGTCACTCGAAACTACATAGAATAAATACACCCCACTATGAATTGAGTAGTCAGATTTAAACATCTATTAAAAACAAATATTTACAGATTATCATACCTTGAGTCACTTGTTCAGATATATTTTGTTCAGTGGAATTCTTCTTTACTGATTCTTCTTCACTAACATTCACCGATGGAACAGTTCTGCTTGCACCACCAGGAAATTTCATTGTTGAATTTTGCAGCACTTTTTCATCTGCAGTAGATTTATTTTTGGAATCATTGTTGCTTGAAGTTAAACTTGCACGTTTGCTATGACTCGCAATAACTGCTTTTGCAGATTCCTGTATGATAACAAAAAGAAGTCATATTAAAGGTAAAAATATAGAATCTCAGTAATTTCTAATCCAATTGAAGCAAATTACACACTGTATATCCTCACATATAAGCCAAGTTTAAAACTCATATAAAAATTGCCAAACTAAGGGGTCGACTTATACATGCATCCCCTAATCACATTAAAAATTCAGCTTATACGTGCATAACCCTAACCTTCATAGATAGATGTATACCTCATTTACATATAACTTAAATAAATACATATATATATGTAAATATTTGTTTATAATATTATGCAAATTAAATTTGCAGAAAGTGTTCAAGAAATTTTACTTCTAAATTTACAAAAAACTTTCGAAAACATTTCGCCTTTAACATGTTCAACTTTTTTACTTTCAAGTTTAAATTATAGAACAACAGCGTGCGTTCAATACTACCTTTGCATGTTCTGGATGAATGTTAATTTTTGAAACAGCATCTCTGAGAAGATCATCTTCACTAGCGTCCCAAGCATCTTCTGTATGATGCTCAAATTCTTTAAAAGACAATTTATGCCTCGGAACTGGTGATATGTTTTGTGTTGAGGATTTGATTGACCTACAATGTATAAAGTTATTGCTTACAATTTCCAATAGACAGATAATTGTTTTGAAATATACACAAGGCCAATGATACATAATATCAAGTGAAATATAAAGCTTAAAGTCTGAAACCTGCAGAGCTGTGTACACAACCAGGTAGGTCACTTGTCAAGACAATACTACAATTAAACTCAAATCCAAGCAGATTGCATATTGTTTCTATACTGCTATCAACTCAAACCTTTGTCAGTTGTCTATACGGGAATAAAAAAGTACTAACCCTCCAGGCATTTTCGGTGATGATCTCTTCCAAAATGGAACTTTGCTTGGCGATTTGGAAGACATAGCTGTCAGGCTGTTGGTCACTTAGCAATTACGTATTATTTCAGTATTTCGACTGTTTTGCACAGTTTGGATTTTATTCAGTTATGGGAGCTGATCTTCATTCAGTACCGGTATTTAATAACAATCCAATTTCAACATTCCCTAATTCAGTAATAATAACCCAAGTTATAACTTTAAATTAATATCTCAAATCAGACACACAACACTACCAAGCAACCTCTGTGAAGCTAGCAGCAAAACACGAAATTGTGACTGACAGAATCGCAGAAAATACCCACGCGTAAAATTAAATGTTCCCAATGATTTTTAAAAGAAAGTGTATATTTTGATTAGTTTCACAATAGCAATTAAGGCAAAACAATCATTAACTACACTCCTCGTATTGTTAATATATAGTAAACAAGCTAAAGCGACTGTTACAGTGCACAAAATTTTTTTATAATTTTTTGAGAGATATTTAAAAATGACTGAATTTTCGTCGTGTAACATGGTCGTTTCATGAAAACCTCCAATAAAGGCAGCATTGCAACACCATTGGTGAAAAGTAGAAACCTCAAAGATTCGATTTCATTATGTCAGAACAGTCTCAGCACGTTTTGACTTGATCATATATAATACTAAACATAGCGTATATTCTTCAATTTTTAAAACAATGTATATACAACAAATTTGAAACTGATTTTGTATTTCAACTAAATTTACTGGATAGTTCATCAAAGAAGATATTTTTCTCTTTGTCACACAACAATAATGCACTTCATTAAACTTAGAATAAGTTGAGGAAAGTCTAAAATACCGAGAAAAAATTTACGCCCTCTTGTGGATTCTTTGATAAATTTCACAAAATTATCGTTTTTGAAAGGGCGATTTCTCAAAAACCGCCAATAAAGGCAGCACTACGACACATTCGAAGAAAAGCAGATACTCTATAGATTCGATTTTAATATGTCAGAACAGTAGCAGCACGTTTTAACTTGGCAATACATGATACCAAACATAGCATTAAACTTGGATGCAGAAAGTGGAAAAGTGGGGATTTCCAAACTTCCCCCCAAAAGCGGACTTGCTGTAGCGAAAATATAATTGCGATTACAAAAATGGAGCCATAGTGAAGCTAGCAGCACTTTCAGCCAGAATATTTTTACACATTGAATATAGGTTCCACGCGCATATAGTGTTCACTTACAAGGTAAATATGAAAATTGAAAATGCTGATCAAAATATAATATTGGCACGAAAATAGATGAAAAATTCTTAAACTGAATGAATACATTAAATTTAACAAGAAATTAGTGTTTAAAAAAAGACTAACTAAGCGAAAAATGAATTTTCAGGTATTCCGCAAATACAAAGTTTCGGAAAATTATCCTCTTCGGAACCTCGATTCCTCGAAAACCGCCAATAAAGGCAGCACCACGACACATTTGGAGAAAAGCAGATACCCTATAAATTCGATTTTTCTATAGCAGAACAGTAGCAGTACGTTTTGGCTTGACCATATATATTACCAAACATATCGTGTAATCTAAATTTTAATAACGGCATGGACGTAACAAATTCAAATTGATTTTGTATTTCAAATAAATTTGCTAGATAATGGATAAAATATCATTTTCTTTTTGTCACACATTAATACTGTACATCTTTTAAACTTGGAATACGTTGCGGGAAGTATAAAACAGCAAAAAATCATTTGCGACTCCTAGTGAATTCTGTCCTGGATTACAAAAAATTATCGTTTTTAAAATGGCGATTTTTCGAAAACCGCCAATAAAGGCAGCACTACGACATATTCGGATAAAAGCACATAGAATATAGATTCGATTTTATTATGCCAGAACAGTAGCAGCACGTTTTGACTTGGCCATATATAATACCAAACATAGCGTATATTCCTCGATTTTTAAAACAAAGGTACGTAACATATTAAAAAAGGGTTTGTATTTCAACTAAAGTTGCAGGATAATTGATCAAATATCTTTTTCTCTTTGTCGCACATCAATACTGTACGTCTATTAAAGTTAGAATAAGTTTCAGAAAGTATAAAATAATAATAAAAAAAATTTTGCGCACCTCCTTGAATTAGTTTGAGAATTTCGAAAATTATCGTTTTTGGATTGGTGATTTCTCAAAAACCGCCAATAAAGGCAGCATCACGACACATTCAGAGAAAAGCACATACCTTATAGATTCAATTTTATTATGTCAGAACGGTAGCAGAACGTTTTGACTTTGCCAGATATAATACCAAACATAGCGTATACTCTTCAATTTTATTAACAATGTGGACGAAACAAATTTAAAAAGGAATTGTATGTCAACTAAATTTGCTGAACAATTGATAAAATATATATTTTTCTCTTTGTCACACATTAATACTGTACGTCTAATAAACTTAGAATGAGTTGCAGAAGAAAAGTATAAAATACCAAAAAAACATTTTACGCCCTCTCGTGGATTCTTTTCAAAATTTCGAAAAATTATCGATTTTGGAAGGGGAATTTCTCGAAAACCGCCAATAAAGGCAGCACTACGACACATTCGGAAAAAAGTATATACCCTATAGATTTGATTTCACTATAACAAAACAGTGGCAGCATGTTTTGACTTGGCTATATATAATACCAAAATAGCGTGTATTCTCAGTTTTATAAACATTGTCGACGTAACAAATTTAAGATGGATTTGTATTTCAACTGAAGCTGCTGGAAAATTGATCAAATATATTTTTCTCTTTGTCACAAATGAATACTGTACGTTTATTAAACTAAGAATTAATTGGGAAAGTTTAAAATATATAAAAAAAAACATTTTACGCTCTCTATAATGGGTTCTTTTCTGAATTCCGAAAAATAATCGTTTTTGAAAGGGCGATTTCTCGAAAACCGCCAATAAAGGCAGCACTACGACACATTCGGAAAAAGCAAATACCTTTTAGATTCGACTTCACTATACCATAACAGTAGCAGCACGTTTTGACTTGGCCATTTATAATACCAAACATAGCGTATATCTCAATTATTTGAATAGCGTAGATGTTCACATATTTTAAAAAGGTTTGGTATTTCAAATAAACTCACCTAATATCGTAATATTCCGTTTTCTTACTTTTTCAAACACCGATACTGTGTGTTATTAAACTTGGAATAAGATGCAAATTGTATGAAAAAGTGAAAAATGTCTTACAACCTTCATATAATTTTTTTCAATTTCCCAAGCATGCCGTTTTTGGAGTGACGATTTCTCGGACAATGGCCAATAAAGGCAGCAATACGACACTTTTGGAGAATAGCAGATACGTTAAAGATTCGATTTCACCAAACCAGAACAGTAGCAGCACGTTTTGATCTGGCCATATTTAATACTAAACATAGCATATCATTTTCAATTTTATCAACTATGTATATGTAACATATTTAAAAACGGTTAAGTATTTCAACTAAATTTCATCAAACACTTTTCTCTCTTGGTCATACATCAAAACTGTACGTTCATTAAACTTGGAATTAGTGTGCAAATCTTAAGATGCCAAAATATGATTTGACGTCCTCTAGTGGATCTTTTTCGGAATTTCGAAAAATTATCGTTTTTGAAAGGGCGATTTCTCAAAAACAGCCATTAAAGGCAGCACTACGACACATTCGGAGTAAAGCAGATACCTTATAGATTTTATTTCATTATGTCAGAACAGTAGCAGCACGTTTTGACTTGGCCATATATAATACCAAACATAGCGTGTATTCAAACTTTTATAAACAATGCAGACGTAACATATTTAAAAACGGTTTGGTATTTCAAATAAATTTCCTTGATAATTTATCAAACTTCTTTTTCTTTTGGACATACATATATACTATACGTTCATTAAACTTGGAATAAGTTGCGGAAAGTATAAAATACCAAAAAGCATTTTACGTCCACTCGTGGATTATTTTCAAAATTTCAAAAAATTACCGTTATTGAAATAGCGATTTCTCGAAAACCGCCAATAAAGGCAGCATTACGACACATTTGGAGAAAAGCAGATACTTTATAGATTCGATTTTAATATGTCAGAACAGTAGCAGCACGTTTTGACTTGGCCATATATAATTCCAAACATAGCGTATATTTTCAATTTTATTAAAAAATGTAGATGTGACATATTTAAAAACGGTTTGGTATTTCAACTAAATTTACTGGAAAATTCATCAAATATTTTCTTCTCTTGGGTATACAACAAAACTGTACGTTCATTAAACTTGGAATTAGTGTGCAAATCTTAAAATGCCAAAAAATGATTTGACGCCCTCTTGTGGATCCTTTTCGGAATTTCAAAAAATTATCGTTTTTGAAAGGGCGATTTCTCAAAAACCGCCAATAAAGGAAGCACTACGACACATTCGGAGTAAAGCAGATACCTTATAGATTTGATTTCATTATGTCAGAACAGTAGCAGCACGTTTTGACTTGGCCATATATAATACCAAACATAGCGTGTATTCAAACTTTTATAAACAATGCAGACGTAACATTTTTCAAAACGTTTGGTATTTCAACTAAATTTCCTATATAATTTATCAAACATCTTTTTCTCTTGGACATACATATATACTGTACGTCCATTGAACTTGGAATGAGTTGCGGAAAGTATGAAATAACGGAAAATCATGTTTCGTCTTCTTGTTGAATATTTTCAAATTTTTGAAAAATTATCGTTTTTGAAATAGCGATTTCTCAAAAACCGCCAATAAAGGCAGCACTACGACACATTCGGAGAAAAGCAGATACCTTATAGATTCGATTTTATTATGTCAGAACAGTGGCAGCACGTTTTGAGTTGGCCATATATAATACCAAACATAGGGTATAATTTTCAATTTTATCAACTATGTAGATGTAACATATTTAAAAACGGTTAGGTATTTCAACTTAATTTACTGGATAATTCATCAAAAACTTTTCTCTCTTGGTCATACATCAAAACTGTATGTTCATTAAACTTGGAATAAGACGGCGAATCCTAAAATAACAAAAAATGATTTGACGCCCTCCTGTGGATTTTTTTCGAAGTTTTTAAAAAAATATCTTTTTGAAAGGACGATTTCTCAAAAACCGCCAATAAAGGCAGCACTACGACACATTCGGAGTAAAGCAGATACCTTATAGATTTGATTTCATTATGTCCGAACAGTAGCAGCACGTTTTGACTTGGCCATATATAATACCAA